TCAGAAACCACATCTCTGTTGTTTCCAAATTTTTCTTAATTTGTTCGGCGACATTCCAAGATTCACTGCCATACAGCAGAACAGGTTCTTTGTAACATTTTAGCAGCCTCTTTCTGACATTAAATTAGAGCGATTTATTGCATAAGATATTTTTCATTTTCTGAAATGTAGCATTCGCTTGACCTATTCTGCTTTTAATCTCTGTCACACATTTTCCATCTGATGATTTGATTGTTCCCACATATTTGAATTTATTCACTTGGTTAAGTCTTTTTCCTTCAGTTGAGATATCACACCATTGAGTTATCTACTTCTTTGATATAACCATTACTTCCGTTTTCTTAATATTCAGTGAAAGTCCTTTCTTAGCACTCTCTATCCCACAATATCCAGCAGTTGTAAATCGGTTGTATTTTAGCTATCAAAACTGTATCGCCTGCATAGCGCAAATTGTTTATATTGTATCCTCCAATTCTTATTCCTGCATTCTCTTTAATTTCCCTCTAAATTTTTTCACTATATATAGAGAAAAGTTCAAACGTACCCAGTATGTGTTCCCCTTTAATTGCTGCTACTTTGTTCCAGTGAATGTTTTTAATTATTCTGAGATCTTTCCCGTCAACATTGATGTCTTCCAACATTTTTATCATCTCTTCATGTTTAACTTTGTCAAATGCTTTGGTATAATCTATAAAGCACAAATATAAGTCATTTTGTATTAATCTTTCTATCAGTTTTGGTAACACGTACATTGCATTACTTGTCCCTTTACCTTCCATAAATCCATACTGCTCTTCACTCATTTCCATTCTTATTTTTCTTCTTGTTCTTCCCATTATAATTCTAAGTAGTAATTTGGTGACATGATTTATTAGGTTGATTGTAGGAAATTCTTCACACTCAACTCTCCTGGTCTTTTGGGTAACGCAGTCAATTCAGATTTCGTCTTATCATAAATATCCTGTTCAACCCTCCAGTGTTATAAATCTTATTCAAAAGTTTAGTTACTATTTCTACCCCAAATTCCCCCGAAATTTCATCTGGCCCTGTTGACTTTCCTTTCTTCATATTTTTAATAGCCTCGCTAACTTCTCCTTTAGTATAGACGGACTTTCTAAATTTCTTTCTTCTGGTAATTCTGCTCTCTTTACATCATTTAGCTCTCTTATGTATTCATTCCATCCAGTTATTATATCATCTTCCTCCATTAAGATCTCCCCTGCTTTTGATTTCAAACATCCTGTGTTTATTCTTATCTTTCTTCAAATTAAATCGTTAATTTATTTATGCACATTTTTTGCATCTTTAACAGGACTGTGTTCAATTTTATTGCATTGTTCATTTAGCCACTCTTCGTTTGCCTTCATACACTTATGCCTTATTTCTTTTTTTCTTCATATTTTTCTTCATCATTCATACATTGCTCAAATTTATCAAGCCTGCACACATGCCCAATTGTGTCTTCAGCTTGCGCCATCCAAGACCTTCCTCTTTTCAGTCTGTGACCCTTAGCTCTACATAGGGCTTCCTATAGCATACATACTACCAGGCTGTCTCTTGTAAATTCCAGAATTACCCGCGTGGCTTCATTCTGTATGCGATGTGAGAATGTGATTTACATTTAATTGATCAAATTTGGACTGCTGGTTCGGGGAGGGGGAGATACGGCATCTCTGGATATAATGCCTTGAGAAAATCAGTTAATATTCTGATCATAAAGTCATTTTCGTGGAAACAAGAACGCCAAACAATAAATACGCCAACTTATACAATATCAGAGAAAGAGAGAGAGAGAGAGAGAGAGAGAGAGAGAGAGAGAGAGAGAGAGAAAGAGGGTGCAAGGAGATACAAGCGACTTAAATAAATAAAGAGTTGTGAGTGAAACAGTCGAGACCCGTGCTCCACTGTGCAATAAGAACAAAATAAAGAAGGAGGAAGGGCGGATGTATCAATTACTAGAAGAAATTACTCGTCGTCGTTGACGTCAACTCAAGCTTTGCACTAGCTGGTGATACGGTCCGAATGAATGAATGAATTAACGGAAACATGACATTATGAAAACGTCAGTAGGTCATCCGATGTATCCATGCTGCATAAGACATAACCTGAAATAATGACCACATTGTATCAATTAATATTACAAGATGCTGTTTGTGGATTACAATTATAACTACTTGACAGCAGAAGTTCGTGCTGGAGCCGTGTAGATAAGTAAACAAATGTACCTAGTTACAAGGTGACAATGTTCTCCTCGTGCGAAGTCCGGTCACGTGACTGCATACATTAGGATCGTACGATGACTGAGGAACGAGCGCTGTAATCAGTGTTGCCACTTTGGATCTTTTATATCCAAATTTAGATCTTTTTCATTGCATTTAGATACTGTTTTTGGCGTTTAGATCCTAAATATTTTTCTAGATTCTTTTCATATGGAGTTAGATATTTTATAGATTTTTTTTTTCTTTCATTGTCAATTTAATAATTACTGTGTAAAATATTTACTACAATATTTTTGTTTTGGTCTGGCACGTACATTGTGACAACTGCCATTACTTGAACTTTGAACTCTCACTGGGGTCAATGCACAAATATCTGGCAGCCCAGGTACTGATTAATAAAAACGCGCGTAAATCATAATAACTTTGTTTTAACCGTATCCTCACTGTGTTGACTTTGCGTTTCTTTTTCATGTGTTTTAAAAATAATAATTGCCCACCTTCTTATGTGGCTTTCACTTTGAAAAACCTTTCAACATGCCAAAAGAAAAGTATGAGCAAAAAATTTGGAAAGAGTGGGTGCACGATGACAAAATTAAAAACTGGGGATATTACCAAAGCTTGTTGTAAGTTTTGTAAGTGTGAAATTAAAGCGAAAATACAAAACTCAAAGAGTCATGCAGAGACTAAAAAAGCATAAAACTGCAGTTTCATTTAAAGATATTACACCGCTGACATCTGTTTTCAGAACTATACTGATAAATGAATCATCAAAAGTTGAAGTATCAGTCGCAATGTTTTTAATTTGTCACAGCGCAATTTCAAACTGTGACCATTTGATCGATTTGTAAAAAATCTTGGACTAGTTCAATTTGAAAAGTGTGGTGTAGAAAGTATAGTTTAGGAACTGAAGGACCTTTTAATCAGCAAACAGTTAGGCTTGAAGAATTTTGCTGTAATTGGTACTGATAATTTCTCAGTGATGGTTGGTATAAACAATGGCATTTATGCCAAGTTGAAGAAAGCTAACCATTCAATACTTATAAAATGCATGCGTCATTCATTGCAGCTAGCATTATCACATGCTTCATCTAAATATTTACCAAGGAATTTGGAATACCTTATTGCTGAAACACTCTACTGGTTTTCCAAATCATTTGTCAGACAACAGAAATTTAATTCATTATATACAGCCTTGAATGATGGTTCCACACCACCGAAAATTCTGTCAGATTGCAAAACTAGATGGTTATCAATTTAACCAGCTGTTGAAAGAATTATGAAGCAATGGCTGAAGTTGAAGACACACTTTGAAATAACAAGACAAAGTGAAAAGTGCTACACAGCTGAAATACTATATGGAATGTACAGTGATAAAAAAAATGTGTCATTCATTCTCTTTTTATAACCTATTCTAATGGAAGTGCAAAAAGTTAATAAACTGTCCAAATCTAAACTTGTTGATACAGTTAAATTCCGTGATGATCTCACCTTGCTATTTCACTCGGTAAAAGACTGGTGTTGCCAACTTCTAAAGCTGATTTGCTCACTTGCACTATAGAAAGCTATATGGCTCCTAAGCCACACCTTGGATATTAAATCGAATCAAAAATTGATGATTTAAAAACAAAAGGACTGTTAACAGAGAATGAAAAGAACAACTAAAGAGAACACTGTCAAGATTTCCTTATCTCATTATTGAAGCAATTGAAGCAGAGACTTCCTGTAAATCTAGATGTTTTGAAAAATATTTCACTTTTTTTCTGTGAGCAACATACTTCAGCCAATAAAGGACATACCTAAATATTCTAAAGTTATGAAATTTTTAGGGGCTACTGATAATAGTGTCGCGGAAGCAGAATATCAGTTAACCAAAATAAAGTTAGCTGAATGGACAAACAAAACAGAAACTAAAGCGATTTGGAGTGAAGTGAGACAATTTAAAGATGCCTCAACAAATCCATTCTGTAAGCTCTTTAAAGTGCCATGTATACCATGATACTACCCCACTCAAATGCTGACATACAAAGAGTTTTCAGTGCTAGGAATTATGTCAAATATAACCTGAAAAACAGGATGAAATTTGACCTCTTAAATGCTATCGTGTCATTAAAATTCGGCCTGATGAGACTAGAGAAATAAGCCTACTGTTCCACTTATAAAGAAATTTGAACAGCTAAAGCATACCAGGGTCATTTTGGATCTGAAGCTTCAACTTCATTATCCAAGCTAAGTTTATCCTGTGGATATTGTGAGGCAGACATCAGTGAAGGTGAGGACATAATTATGTAGGGTAAGTCATAACAAAAGCTATGTAATTTTTGACTTTTTCAATTTGGATGTTTTGTCTAGATCTTTTATACGCAGATTTAGATCTTTTTAGATATTTTTTGACACCGTTTTGGATATTTTTTGTCAAAGAAAAGTGGCAACACTGGCTGTAATTCAGTGTGTGTAACTCGTGCCGGTGTTCGCACAGTCGCTTTTCTGTCTCTAGAACTTGCGTGCTATAACTCACCGATAGATGCCCTCCTTCAATCACAATTACAGTATTTGTCGTTAATCCTACTTAAATACAAATTATTTCACTGAAGACTTTAAAATTATTTCTATAATCAGACATAAATTTGTGTGGAAAAATTCTGTTTGAGTTTGGCCACACCTTCTGGAAAGTCGGTCGTGTAGGTAGTTCCAGTGAGGAACATTGCTTGTAAACAGACTGCTTTTATCTGTGCTCTAGAGACTTCAGTACTCAGGGTGACTTCATCTGGTTCATTTTCAACAATGTTGCTACGGATATGCTTTCTTTTATTCTGTTTTGTGATGTGTACACAAACATACAGCGCAGGTGAGTGATATAACTTTTCTTAGAAGTTAGTCTACATATCTAAAAGCATGATCTTGTTACTGTTAGGGAGAAATTGTCATTGTGTCTGTTCTAGCCTTAGTGTGGTGCGTACACTACATAACTGAGTTTTGAGTCATTGGTGAAAAAAGTAGTCAAAATCTTTACAAATCATATGTGTAGCTAGATCAAGTTATTTACGTCATTAAACAAATTGTATATGTAAAGTCCGTCAAGGATCGCGATACGACTTGTCTCATCGTATTATTTATCTTAAGATACTTATTGGAAACTTGAACTCAGGTATGTTACATCTCTGTATGACATTAATGAGAAACTAAATATTTCAGCTGCAGACACATCATCATCATGTGAACCCACACAATTTGCTTGCAAAAATGGACGCTGTATAAATCTTGCATGGAAATGCGACGGCGACGATGATTGCCGTGACCATTCTGATGAAATGGAATGCTGTAAGTGTTTGTGTATGAGTGATGAAGTGAATAGTGTATCGTGGGCTTGCGTGTGTTCTATGTTTCATGTTTTCTCTACAGTAGTTTCTAAACTTTACATGATACGGAACTAAGTATCGGCAGCAACGTGTTGTTTCATCATCACTCAAAGAATGCCGGCTCTAAAAATAAATCAGTTATGTGATATTTTTAAGTTTATTTAAACGTATTCACCACTGATGCGATGGGAATTGAAGAATTTGTTAACTTTTCGATTTTGTCATCAACCATTATGTTTTATCATTGTTGTGACATGTTTGACTCGCTGAGTATTGTTTATTTGTTGTTTTGTGTTTGTTTGTTGTGAAGATGAATCAGTGATCTTGTCTGGCTAGTACAGGCGACCTACTTGGACCTGGGTTCTGATTGGCTGAGAGCACTCGCCTGAGCTCGGTTGACTGGCGGGCCAGCCAATGGCTGCTGCCCGACCCGTGGGCTGTCTGATCGCCTGTTTGTTGAGGTCAAAATGTCACCGCTTACATAACGTTCCCAACTTGATCTCACCTACCTACCTGACACTGTTACATGGTAACGGCCGTCAATAAACATTCCTTGACAGTATCACTCCCACATCATGTTGGGAGCAACAGCTGCGAGCTGTTAATGAAACTATTGACCTATTGATGCTCTCATATATCACACCACCTCCGATATTTTTAATTTGCGTGTCTTATAGACTTATACATCACTGACATGTTAGCTGGATCAGAAGGGGGGTTTGGAAACATCTTGATGAAATGTTACGTAAAGAAAAATCAGTCTAGATGATAAGTGCTGGTCAGCAGATTAGTAGTATTACGTGTTATCTCCGCAATAAAAACATCACCAGTGGCGAAAGGAACGTTGCTACTAGAAAGTCTTCACCAGCATTTGTAACACAGACACACACACACACACACAAGCAAGGCACTCTTCCGAATACCGGTCCCAAATTATTCACTGCGAAATTTTTTTTTTTTCTCTCAAACATGTGGCCCTGGATCCCACACGGCCCTGGATCCCAGTTACTGTGAACAATGGATCAAAAACTATTCCCCCCCCCCCACTCCCATATCGCTATAATGCATTGAAAACTACTCCTCCCCACAACGCTTCAACATTGGATCAAACTGTATTCTTCCTTACAATACTTAATTTGGTTAGTTAGTTGGGTTATCATCATTGCACTCCGGACATGTCCATAGGTGCTCAGATCCTCCCCTCAGTATGAACCCCAACGTCCGATGGCTAATAGTACCAGTTCTATGTTGATTAACAAGTCTTCTGACGTGTCCGGTGTGCATCTCGTTTTTTGCTGTGCCGATCTTAATTCCCAAGTCTGCCATTCTGGCGAGTGATGTGGATTCACTGCCACCGATGTCCTCTATCCTTCCCATTTCTCTGAGGGCATTGATAATATCAGCATGATCCATAGGCAGACCGTCGGTAGTGATAGCGGATCCAGCCAACCTGTCAGCTCTTTCATTTCCATCGACGCCTGCGTATCCCGGAACAAAAATAAAGGTGACTCCACGCACAGTGGACTTCTGAATTGATTCAAGCCATTGTCTTCGCACTGAACCTGCCTGAACCCTCCGGATCATACTCATTGAATCACTGAGTATACATATGCGGGTGTATTTGTGTTTCAAGCCAGGCAAGCGCTTGCGTCACTGCCATCACCTCCATCGTCATGCTGCTGGTTGTTTACAATACTTAAATGGATCGAGAACTATTCCTCCCTACTGCGCTTAGCTTAACGTCTAAACATTGCTATCCTTCGTGCTATAACGACAGAAGTGGAAACTGATGATGGTGGCCTACATGTTGTTACTACAGTACATAACCTCTTGACGCTCCCAGCGGAATATTTTTCGCAGTGAATAATTTGGGACCGGTATTCGGAAGAGTGCCCGGCACTCTTCCGAATACCGGTCCCAAATTATTCACTGCGAAAAATATTTTTTTTTCTCAAACATGTGGCCCTGGATCCCACACGGCCCTGGATCCCAGTTACTGTGAACAATGGATCAAAAAACTTCTTCCCCCCCCCCCCCCCACTCCCATATCGCTATAATGCATTGAAAACTACTCCTCCCCACAATGCTTCAACATTGGATCAAACTGTATTCTTCCTTACAAACAGTTTGATCCAATGTTGAAGCGTTGTGGGGAGGACCGGTATTCGGAAGAGTGCCCAAGCAGTGTTTGTTGTAGTATGAGTGAAGGCATGTGTATAACAGAACATAAGACAACAGAAATATAATTATAAGATTGGAGTTAGTTGACAAAGCTGTCCTGGCACTTCGCATTGGTGAGATCTAACACTGCAGGCAGTATGGAGATAATATGGCTCATATACTAGTGAAGTAGAAACAGAACTGTCGTGCCTTGGGGAGGAATAGCTCATTGACCCTTTTCAAGAAAATGATGTTGGCAGTCCTAACCTTGCTCTGTCTAATGAGCCGTGATCAGAATTATGTAAAAGCCTAACATGTTACACCCCCAGTGGTGTCTGTGATGGACTTTATTTAGCATATTAATGAAAGCCTTGCTGTCACCTGTGGTCAGTTTATTGTTCTTTTCTCATTAGAATGTTTCACACATACCTAAGTGTGTCTGAAGACTAGAGAGTATGTCACCTGCTTTCTTGTTGACAGAACTTTTTTTTATTTGTAAGGTAGTTGCAGAGGAACTTAAGCAGGATCTGAAGCTGACCTGTTTCTTTCTTATCTCTGAGTCCTGCGTCAGTTCTTTTCTTAGTAAATGTAACTTTAAATTACTGCCCATCATCCAAAGTTACATTTCTTTTTTTAAATCAGTTTGGCACACCTAGAATAGCAAGGTGGCACACCTAGAATAGCAAGGCACATCATGGTAGTATTTTGTGTAGCTGCAGGGTCCCTCTGTTTCATTACTATCCAGTTATTCATTACTATCCAGTTATTCATTACTTATCCAGTGCCCATGTGATGGCAGTTACACAAGCTTTCATATTTCTGGAAGCACAGGGCTATCCCATATGTGTGTGCTGAGTGGTTCTATATGCTATATTGTCAATGCAGGCTTTTTTTTAAAGACAGTGGATTGAGTCATTGCAAAACTCCTGTGCATGAAGTCAGCTTCATCTTTGTCCCAGGGTAGTGCAGGTGTTGTTGGCAATGAAAGAACTGTTAAATTGAACGGCTTTGTCTTAGTTGCAGACGGCTATCCTATGAATCCTACCAGCATTGTTAATGAGAGATAGGACAGTTGAAAGATGTTGTTGCTAAGAATTCAAGAATTTGAAGTAGAGATCGGCACAGCTATATATGATTGCCAATATGAGAAGCCTTTCAATCACCTAGGACTGGCATCATTAACCACGGGGCAGTGATGTTTATGTTGAAGTGGGAAGTGTGATCTCCCTATTAGAAGTTGACTCTAATGTTTCCTGCAATTTCATGCTACTATTATGTGCATGATTTCTCCAGGTTCATCTCTTGAACCAACCCACACGTAACACATGTTTTAATGTTTTTCTTTAACGAGGAGCACATTTTCTCATTGTAAGGCTAAGTAGCTTAACTCTCTGACCTTAATCTGATTTGGAATGTTCTGTAAAGAATTCTTTCTTTCTTATCCTGCCATGATTTCTTCCTGGTCATCTGAACAGTTACATTTCAAAAGCTTCAAAAGCAGATCTTTTTACCTTCATTGAAAAGATTGAGTTGACAAGTGCTTTCACCATAAATATGAATATAAACATGTTTGAACAAGCATATTTGAAACCAACAGGTGATCACATGGCAGATATTAGCATTGGGGTAAGAAGTGTCAGGTTTTCTCTTAGATTGCCTTCAAGTATTCAGGTTTTCTCTTAGATTGCCTTCAAGTATTCAGGTTTTCTCTTAGATTGCCTTCAAGTATTCAGGTTTTCTCTTAGATTGCCTTCAAGTAGTCAGGTTTTCTCTTAGATTGCCTTCAAGTAGTCAGGTTTTCTCTTAGATTGCCTTCAAGTAGTCAGGTTTTCTCTTAGATTGCCTTCAAGTAGTCAGGTTTTCTCTTAGATTGCCTTCAAGTAGTCAGGTTTTCTCTTAGATTGCCTTCAAGTATTCAGGTTTTCTCTTAGATTGCCTTCAAGTAGTCAGGTTTTCTCTTAGATTGCCTTCAAGTAGTCAGGTTTTCTCTTAGATTGCCTTCAAGTAGTCAGACCTCAGATAACCTGTTCTGATCCTGGTCATTGCTAGAAAAAAAAACTCAGGTTAAAAAGTATTTGTGTGTACTTGTTTGAGAAAGAAAGAAAGAGAGAGAGAGAGGGAGAGACTTCTTACTAAAGTACTCTGACAGTAAACTCCTGGTAATACTGTTGTTTTATTTAATGGTATCTCATTCTATCATGTCAGTTTTGTTCATTCTTGATGTTTGCCCTTATTCACATTTTTTTTTCATTTTAGTCTGGTTTTCCCCATCGTATGTGCAAACTTAAAGATACACATTTTTATGTTTGTAATGCATAATATAGATATGAATGAGACACATACATAAAATAGAAATGAATCAAACACAAACATAAGACAGATTTTGACTGAGACAGAAAGTGCAAACATTGTTCATGGCTTATGTCAGAAAATTATTACAAATGTCAGTTCTGTTGAGATTCTAAGCTTTCTGCCAATTTTGTGGCACTTATGTCATTGTAATTTACTTGTAACTGTTTTTGTTTTTCATTGAATATTAGTAAATGTTTGAGATAATGCATGTTAATATCAGCTTTTTGACAGCTGTGATGTTCATACAATAACTAATGCTGTGTTGTTTGTTTCTTCATCAGCATCAACCACATGCTCTGAGAATTATTTCCAGTGTAACGATGGGAAATGCATCCCAGACAGATGGGTTTGTGATGGAGCTTCTGAATGCTTGGATGATTCAGATGAGAGTGTTGAGCTGTGTAGTAAGTTTTGTCTGCTTCTCTTAAATATTTTTATCTAGTAGTCCTTTACATTCGGTTTTAACATTTCATTGTTTCTTGTTCAGATTTCCATGAAGATGTTTCCAAAGTCCATAAACCTATCCTCTGCTAGATTTCTCTATTGTCCATACACTTGCCATCTGTAAATATTATTATCTATAGACTTATCCTTCATGAAAAGGAGTTCTTAATTTACCTCTAGTTCTGTTGGTTTGTATTAATTTAAAAAAAAATGTGCAGGATATTTTGGGCTGCTTATGGTGGTAACTGCATGTTTTCTGTCTTGATTGCTACACGCCAAAAAGCTCATCCATAACAGCTCAAGAAGAGATACAGACAAATACATAGGCCTTCAAAACTATCCAAGAAGTCTTCCACTGTTGCGGAGCCAGCACATGATGTTCTGCCTCTGGACATTCAGGCAAGGATCATGTTCTGGTCCTGGCTACCTGGCATCACTTTTTTATATTGAGCCTATGTTCATTACTAGCATCTGGTAGATTATGGGCTTAGACTGTACTTTGATGTTTTCCCACCAAAAAGAGCAGTTTTTACCTTCAGAGTGTGTCACTGCAGATCACATGACTTCCTGATTTTCTCAAATCTGTCTTGGTTTCTGTTATTGGTCATCATCATTATTCTGTTGTGCCATTATATGTCACATAGGGCTAGCAGTCTATTCCTCCATTTTATTATGTCCTTGTGCAGTCAGTTCTGTTCTTGTTAATTTTTTTTTTTTATTGCAACATTTTAATACCTATAAATGTAACATTGAAATATGGAATATGAACATCATGTAAATTTTGTTTTCAGATAATCAAAGCTGTGATGGTTACAAGTGCAATGACTCACGTCTGTGTATATCTGATGATTGGAAGTGTGATGGTCAGAATGACTGCCCAAATGGAGATGATGAACTAGGTATGTAGTGTGGTGTGACAAGACATATGTATTATACTGAATAAATGAAGCTGGATCTGAGTTCTCCAAGAAACAAATGAAAAACTGAACTGGTCAGAGAAAACAGACTTAGTCATCAGTCTTTGTGGGCATGTTATGAGAAGAAATAAACTTCAGAACGTTGCCAGCTGATAAATTTAATTTTTAAAAGAGAGCAAAGGAGAGACAATGAGACAGAATGCCTGGACATCTTTGTCATGTGGCATTGGGAAGAACAGGAAATTAGAAAAGCTATAAATCTTTCTTAAGGAAGGAAAGGCGTCAGGCCCAGATGGTATCCCAACTGAAGCCATCAGGACCAACATAAACACATCAACATAATTGCTACATAAATTATTCAGTAAAGTCTGGGAGACCGAAGAAATACCAGCAGACTGGAGAGAAGGATATCTTGTGAAACTGCCCAAAAAAGGTGATCTACAGGAGTGTGAAAACTATAGAGGAATTATGTTGCTGTCAGTTCCTGGAAAAATATTAAGTAGAATTATTTTGGAAAGATTAAAAGATGCTATTGATAAAATGCTAAGAGATGAGCAGGCAGGTTTTTGGTCAAACAGATCCTGTACTGATCAGATAGCCACATTACGTATTATAATAGAGCAAAGCATTGAACTGAACTCACCACTTTACATTGAATTTATAGACTATGAAAAAGTATTTGACAGCATTGATAGGGAATCTCTCTGGAAATTGATGGGGCACTATGTAATCCCACAGAAAATTATCAACTTAGTAAAGGCAACATATAAAGACATGAAATGTCGAGTTCTTCATGAGGGAAAGCTAACAGATGCATTTGAAATAAAAACAGGTGTGCGACAGGGATGTCTTTTGTCGCCTCTCTTATTTTTACTGGCTATAGACTGGACTATGAAAACAGTAACTGCTAACACCAAGAATGGAATTCAGTGGACCCCTACAAAACAGCTTGATGATCTGGACTTCGCTGATGATATTGCTCTTCTGTCCCATTCACGGAATCAGATACAAGATAAATTAAATATACTTAATGCAAGAGAACAGCAGCTTGGTCTGAAAATCCATAAAGGAAAGACAAAGATAATGAGAATAAATCAGGCAAATGGTAATGTGGTTTCTCTTAATGGCACCCCACTCCAAGAGGTGGAGTCGTACACCTATTTAGGCAGTAATGTATATAAAGATGGAGGAACTGATAGAGATATTAAAATAAGAATACAAAAGGCAAGAGGGGCTTTCATAGCACTAGGGAATTTGTGGAGGTCAAAAGAAATTAAAAGAAATACTAAACTAAAAATTTTTAATTCTAATGTCAAATCAGTAGTATTGTATGGGGCGGAAACATGGAGAACAACCAAGGCAATTACTAATAAATTACAGACATTCATTAACTGGTGCCTGCGCAGAAAAGAGGGAATAAAATGGTATGGTAGAATAACTAATGTAGAACTTTGGGAGAGAACTAAACAGTCTCCAGTGGATCAGGAGGTGAGGAAAAGACGCTGGCGTTGGATAGGGCACACACTGAGAAAACAGGAGAACAGCATAACTAGAATGTCTTTGCATTGGAACCCACAGGGGCATAGGAATAAAGGAAGGCCAAAAAACACATGGAGAAGAGAGCTGGAGAATGAGGTTAGAAAGATTGGGAGGACATGGGGAGAGCTCCATGCAATGGCGAAAGATAGAACGACTTGGCGTGAGTTGGTTGAGGGCCTATGCTCCATTGGGGGATAGAAAGGCAGAAGAAGAAGAAAATTGGGAAAAACATTGATAAGAACAAGGGCTCTGATGACTGAATCATGATCAGCCTATTTTTATTGTCATTGCATAAGATGATGATAACATAACCCACTGGTAGGGTCATGACACATCTTATAAGATCATTCAGACTGAAACTGGTGCATTTTTGTTTCTTTGAGTAATTTATTTCACTGTATGTGTGGCTGCACACACTTCTTGTGACAGTGTTTTGGTATTTCATTGCTTTCTACATTTATATCAGAAGAAATGTACATGCTGTATACGTATTCATTATGGGCAGCTTTTTTGTATTGCTGGAATGTATGCCTGGACATCAGCCAGTTTGTTTGTTTGTCATTTATTTTGGTCATTATATGAGTCTTGCTGTTAGTGCTGTCTCGGTGCTGTGTATTTTTGTCAGCAACAAATTCTTTTCTATCACCTGCTATCATTCATATTGTTAGCGGACCAACATTTTACTCTAAAGTGTGCATATCATCTTTATATGTCTGTGCTCAAGCGCTGAGTCAAAACAATTTATTCTTTAGAGGTTTAAAACAAATGTTTGCCTGCGTGCAGTGGTGCATCCTGGAGGGGACTGTAATGACTATACCAGAACTAGAGTCAGCATGGAGCCACAGGGCTCATATTTTATAAAAATGACACACATCAGGGATGAAACTAAATGCTTTTGTGAGACAAAGTAGATGATGACATATATATCTTGATGGACAGTAAGTCAGCAGATACATGAGTTGTGTAGCAAATGAAAATTTTCTTTTCTTCGAATCACTGAAATATGTCTGATTTAATAGAAAGACAGCACATTTGTAGAAAAATTGTCCCATCTGTGCCATTGAATTCACATTTAAGGTCAGGCTTTCTCTTCAGTTTTTAAATGATGCTGCTACTGTAAAAGCTCCGAAATCTTGGGTACCGAGAAAAATTTGTGAACACATAAATATACTACTAGTTACAAGTTACATTAGAATGTATTCACGGTTTGTTGTTGTATAATTGTTTCTGCTTGTTATTATTGACAGGTTGCAGCCATTTGTGTGACCCTGCAGAGTTCAAGTGTAATGATTCTAAATGTATTTCTATGAAATGGCATTGTGATGGTCGTCCTGACTGTGATGACGGTTCTGATGAGAGAGACTGCCGTAAGTGTCTTTGTGGCTGTGCTTGAAATGTGGCATCAATAAGCTAAGACAGAGTTGTTATCTATCATGTTAGCTTTTAAAAAAAAATTAGTTAAGTTCTGTATTGGCCATTTTTTATTGTTGGGTGAATTTCTGGAAAAAGTAATTTACATTCTTAAGGTTGAGGTAGAACTCTATTAAAATAACAATTAAAAACCATGGAATTTGTGCATCAAACCAGAAAGGAGTGAGATGATCATAAAATAGTTTTTTTTTCTCTGAGATATTTTCTTTTTTATGTTTATGGAAAAAACATAAATGAGACTGGCTGTTTATATTCAAGTGTTTGTTTACAGTCAGGTGTGAGCTTACGTTTGTTTACAGACAGGTGTGTGGGCTTATGGTTGTTTACAGACATGTCTGTAAGCTTATGGTTGTTTACAGACAGGTGTGTGAGCTTATGGTTGTTTACAGACAGGTGTATGAGCTTATGGTCGTTTACAGACAATTGTGTGAGCTTATGGTTGTTTATAGACAGGTGTGTGAGCTTATGGTTGTTTACAGACAGTTGTGTGAGCTTATGGTTGTTTACAGACAGGTGTATGAGCTTATGGTTGTTTACAGACAGGTGTATGAGCTTATGGTTGTTTACAGACACGTGTATGAGCTTATGGTTGTTTACAGACACGTGTGTGAGCTTATGGTTGTTTACAGACACGTGTGTGAGCTTATGGTTGTTTACAGACACGTCTGTGAGCTTATGGTTGTTTACAGACATGTGTGTGCTTATGGTTGTTTACAGACAGGTGTATGAGCTTATGGTTGTTTACAGGCATGTGTCTGCTTATGATTGTTTACAGACAGGTGTATGAGTTTATGGTTGTTTACAGACAGGTGTGTACGCTTATGGTTGTTTACAGACATGTGTGTGCTTATGGTTGTTTACAGACAGGTGTGTGCTTATGGTTGTTTACAAACAGGTGTATGAGCTTATGGTTGTTTACAGACAGGTGTGTGAACTTATGGTTGTTTATAGACAGGTGTGTGAGCTTATGGTTGTTTACAAACAGGTGTATGAGCTTATGGTTGTTTAGACATGTGTGTGCTTATGGTTGTTTACAGACAGGTGTGAGCTTATGGTTGTTTACAGACAGGTGTGAGCTTATGGTTGTTTACAGACATGTGTGAGCTTATGGTTGTTTACAGTTTTTTTAATTGAATTTTATTAGAAAACCTGTCAAATAAAAAAATCTCAAAACACCCCTGGTGATGGGAGACAATAATGTACAAGATTACTGGTGAGCAAAGTGTTAAATGCTTGGAAATTTTTGTTTAATAAACCCTGAGTTTCTAATGTTTATTACATTATTGTACAAACATGTGAATGTGAAACATTTAAGCCATGAATGAATTAAAGTAGGTTTTTTTTTTAAAAACATGCAGGATTGTTTTGTTTGACATTAATAAGCTGTGTGTAATGTTGCTACTGTTTTCTTGCAGCGAACACTACATGCAATTTTGCTGCTGGAGAAAAGATGTGCAATGATGGAGCATGCATCAGTGACATCTGGTGGTGTGATGGGTTCGCTGATTGCAAGGACAAATCTGATGAAGCCAATTGCACAAGTACGCAGCCTGCTAAAGCATGTGGTCCTAAAGAGTTCCAATGCCACCTTCCTGTGCTGGATTTTAAATGCATTCAAATCTCATGGAAGTGTGATGGAGATGACGATTGCAGTGATGGAAGTGACGAATTTAACTGTAAGTGAATCTTCTTGAATATTTCCTTTGTTGTGTGGATTCGTTTGCTACCATGAAATCCTGCTGAATATGCCATACTGCTGACTGTACCATACTGCTGACTACCATACTGCTGACTATACCATACTGCTGGCTATGCCATACTGCTGACTGTACCATACTGCTGACTGTACCATACTGCTGACTGTACCATACCGCTGACTATGCCATACTGCTATGCCATACTGCTGACTGTACCGTACTGCTATGCCATACTGCTGACTATGCTATACTGCTATGCCATACTGCTGACTGTACCATACTGCTATGCCATACTGCTGACTATGGCATACTGCTGACTGTACCATACTGCTATGCCATACTGCTGACTGTGCCATACTGCTGACTGTGCCATACTGCTGACTGTGCCATACTGCTGACTATACCATACTGCTGACTATACCATACTGTTGACTGTGCCATACTGCTGACTGTACCATACTGCTGACTGTACCATACTGCTGACTATACCATACTGCTGACTGTACCATACTGCTAGATGCATCCTAGTTTTTCTTCTATACCACAGGCACTCATCACTCCTGCAGTGCAGATGAGAAAATGTGTGACAACAATCTCTGTATTAAGGCTACCTACTTTTGTGATGGAGAAAATGACTGTGATGAAGGCGAAGATGAAAAGAACTGCACCCATACAAGTATGAGAAGTATATGTTTAAATATCTAATTAATTTTTTTTTTATTAAGATTTTTTTAATAATTTGAAATTTTTTTTATTTTTTAATTATTTATTTGTTGATTGGATGTGAATCTTTTTGGAAACTAATTTTAACTCTTAGTCTGGGGCAGTGGCATTTAGATCATCTAAACCATGATTAGGGCTTGTATCTGTTAGGTTTAGCCTAGGGTGGAGACTTCTCCCAGCTGTGTACCAGATTACAATATATATGGGCTGAGACAGAAAGATTGCCATCCTTTTAAATCTCAGTAACCTATCTCAGAATTTGACAAGGTTTGCTAGACCTTACTAGAACATCATCTTTACATAGGCATACTAGAATGTAAACAGTGTCAAGTTTGGTACCCTAGAAACAGGAATATCAGAATAATAGGTCTGTTCAGTGAAAACAAATCTGGAAGTCCTAAAGAAATTGGACATCAAAGTAAACATGATGGTTGAAATAACATACAAATAAAATATAGTAACCATTTTGAGGCCACCCCCCACCCGTTTTTTTTTTCCATGCTGGAAGGAAAAGTTAAAGACAGGTGAACAAGTGATAGATAAATAGGCAAATGATAACAACAAATGGACAAACAGCTATTTGTCAGTGTTCAACCAGAGTGACAGTGAGAGTTAATTCATTGCAACCAACTCTCCCAGTGAAGCACATGCCTTCTTCCAGCTCTTGCAGCTCACTGTATGCTATCCCTGTGCTTTTCTATTTTGTTTGGGGGGATCTCCCTATAGATTCCACTCCACTAATTATATAGTTATATTATCAGGTTTTTCAATATATATTGTGCTGGTGTATTTTCCTCCCTATGGATTCACAAAAATGTAATTAGTTCTATCTCTTTAATCCCTGCATTAGTGATTCAGTCATACCATTTAATGATTCAGTCCATCTGCATGTTTTTTGTTTAAACTGATCTTATTTTTAATTTCATCATTCTTAGTTTGGCTCTAGATTTAAACTCTGTTAGACGTGAGTATTGATTGGTTTAAACTCTGTTAGACTTGAGTATTGATTTTGGGTTATCTGTTTGAAGTGTCAAACAGTATCCATGTGAGTGAGAGAGCATTGGAGAAAACTAACCATGAACTGTGTGACATCCTTTTCAGGTGTTATACCATCAGACTGCAAAGCTGGTGAATTTGACTGCGGCCATACATGTATATCAGATCAGTTGATCTGTAATGGTGCTGACGACTGTGGCAATGGAGCTGATGAAGCACCAGACCGCCACTGCCCTATATCCACCAACAGTAAGTACAACGGGTTTTTGTGTCATAAGTTGAGAACCTTGACTTTGAGCCATCAGTAGCTCTGAAAAGTGTAAGGCAAACGGTTTTGATAGGTTTGGTCATTAAGATGTCCTCAGTATCTTGGCTGGTTTGCTCTGGTTTTGACTTCATCTGCTACACATTATGATTTGAAGCAGTGGAAGAATCCAACAAATTTGGAATTCCTCTGCAGCTCAACGTGAAGCATTTATTGCATGCACATTTAGCAGTTGGAGCTGAACTAGTGTGAATGTTTTTCTTTCACTGTAGTCTGTTGTTTACTGCAAAGCAAAGCTGGCATGTTTTGCTCAGCCTTATCAAATGGATGTCGGACAGATATTTCTGATAAAGGGTAGGACTGGCAATGAATACAATCTTAGTAATGGTCAGCAAAGAAATCTGACCATCCCCTCTCATGGTTTCCTTACCTAGTGTATATGAAGGCCCAGTACTTACACCCCTGTTGCAGTGATCCTTAATTAATGACCAGTCTGTAGAGAAGATGAACTATTTTGATACTTTGCAGAATGGCTAGGCATTTTTATACATTCAAAACAATGTTTTCACGTAATGAATTTAAATAATGCGGATACGAACAATACATTGCACATTTTATTGCCAGGCATATTTCACTGTATCTCATCAGGTGCGTTACTACAGAGTTACATCAACATAAAATAAAGCACAAAACTGAATAAATTTCAACCGAAATGCGAATAGTTTCTTCCGATACATTGCGTCTGTTTCATAGCCACCGGAAGCTCACCGTAGTCACATGACCTACCAGGGTAACTTCAAGTTTATGATAAATTCCGTCTGCTTACAAAGGAGGGGGTTGTTGATTTTTATTGTTAAAGCTTCGGAAGAAACTATTCACATTTTAGTTGAATTTATTCAGTTTTGTGCTTTATTTTATGTTAATGTAACTCTGTAGTAACGCACCTGATGAGATAGTGAAATATGCTTGGCAATAAATTGTGCAATGTATTGTTTGTTACCACATTATTTAAATTTTTTTAAATGTTAATGAAGCCAGCAGAAGCTATTCAAAACACTAACACAGTTTGCTGTCTCCTAATTTGTGAGAGAAAATTATACAGGACGTGCTGTATGTACACTGCACATTTCATGTATGCTTATTATTTGTTTTTAAAACAAGCAGCTACTTCTGGAACTGGTATGATAGATATTGTAACTTTGTGTTGTGGTAGTTGCTGTGACTGTTTGTTGTAGAAGTGACTCAACTAGATGTAGTTTTGTTGTTTGTCTTCTTTGCGTTCACAGACTGTATATTCTGGCGGAAAGTTCTGGTTGTTAGTCCACTTCTGGACTGCAGTCCTGTTCCAGAACCTGAGTGTTGCATGTGCATCCGTTTGACAGATCTGACTCATTTGTATGCAGACTGTTGGTTCCTTGCCTCTTAGGCAGATGCACTCCGACTGCGAAGGAAGCTCCCAATTAGTCGACTCTTGCGACATGCTTTTGGGCATGCAGTGGGTCTGTTCTTGTTTTCCCTATAATAGGGCCCCAGAACTGACACGGTTGTTGTTTGTGAAAGCATACTTTTTAACATCAGTATTTGTATTTGCTTGGAGCATAACAGTATAGGAGATAAATAGCAAAAGCAGTCTGCATATTCAAGATATATTCTGTTTTTCATTGTATTAAAATTGTTGTTTAGCATGTTATATTGACAATAAATGTTCAGAATTGTTAAATATAAGTTGACTGTATTGCATCATTGTGTTTATTTCTTCTTTTACATTATGGAAATATTGAATATATATATTGAATATTGAATATATGGAACCCGTTAGCTTTGCACAGCAGTCCATCTAGGAGACGGCAAACTCCGAATTTAAACCCCCCAAGTTCAAGGTGGGCCAACTTGCTGAGGAACTGGATGGCCCTGGGTGAGCTGGTCATGAACGTTGGACGTCATGCAGGCGTGCGGAGCGGCATAAGGCGTATGGACTCCTACGGGACATCCATTGCCGCTTCCATAGCAAGCAGGCAATACATGGTGACCGGTCATTTCCTGCAGTACTCTATTTTTTTGTATGGATTTTAAAAATATACATCGCCGGAGCTACAGGGCACGTGCTCTGCGCTTGACACATTATTCAGAGGTTAGTGAAGAGGGAGTGAGGAGGAGATGATGAGGAAATGGGGAGAGAAGAAGGCATAGAAATAGGAGGGCGAGTGCTAGGAGAACAAGGCGAAAAGCGGAGAGATTGAGCTTTAATCATGTAAGAGTAGGATACTGGAACAGTCGGAGTGCTAGGCAGAGAGGTCCTGTACTGGAGAGGTTGATTTTTGATTTTGATGTCATCATGCTCCATGAGCTAAATACAGGCAGATATCATTGCCCGGGGTACGTCAGTTATATAAACCCTGTTGGACAGGAGAGACATGGACAAGGTCTAGTGGTAAAGGAGGGAGTGAAGCATGTGGTGCTTGACTTGAGCCAGTGGAACCAAAGTGGACGAGAGGTTCAAGGGATACAGGTGGAAATTAGTGGCCTAAGTTAGAACCTCATAAATATTATTGCCACGGTAGACTGTTTTATCAGAAGTGAACAATGGAGCTGGCTTAAGGAGCTGGAGGAATTACCAGGTGATAGGTTACTCATATGTGGGGATTTCAACGCGAGGAACAGAGAATGGGACAGCAGTGGAGAAAGCTGACAGGGAATTGCTCTTGCAGAGGCCATGGTTGACTCCGATATGGTCTGCATTAATGATGGGAGGCCGACTAGAATGGCAATGAGGTCTGGAGATGCAGACACAGCCATTGACTTGACATTTATCACTCAGTCGTCGGTTTTAGATGTTAAATGGATTGTCCTGAATGACCATGGGAGTGATCACCTACCATGTTCAGTCTTGATTTCTAAACTCAGTAAGGTTAAGGTTGGGAGAGCACGCAAGACCTTCCAGTATAAGTGGACCAACAACCTACTTGGATGCCTCAGACAGGGAGCATGCAAAAGAACTGCCAGAACCAATTTTCTACAGCCCCCATGGTGGACTCCAGAAGTAGAACAGGCATGGAAGGCAAAGAGAGCCGCAGTGAAGCAGCTAAAGAAAGTACGACAGACACCCTCAAGCTCACGAGAGGAAGTGGAGATGGCGGAGAGTGTGAAAAAAAGATAAGGTGGAGGTTTTCAAGCGCTGTGCTGCAGAGGCCAAAAGAGCAAAGTGGGAAATTTTTGTGAATGACATGGGAGGCGATAAAACATTGGGGAAATTCTGGAAACTGCAAAGGCAGATGCAAAGAAAAGATCGGCCTATAACAGTCGGAACAATTTGTAGAGATGATGGTGTGCGTGTGACAACAGACAAGGAGAAAGGGGAGGCTTTTCTCCATAGGTTTATAGCTCAGACAGATCATAATGATGTAGACATCAGAAATGCAGTTAGAAAGGAGTTAGCTGACACTTTGAAGAATGTGCAGTATGAAGACATGATACACGTGGAAGAAATCAAACAAATTTTGAAAAAAGCAAAAGACACTGCACTAGGGCCTGATGGTGTCAGGTATGGTCACATGAAGGCTTTGACACATGTAGACCTGGCAGAGATGGCTGACTGTTTTAACCAGAGTATTAAGACAGCATCGGTACCGCAAGACTGGGTGCACAGCTATCTAATACCACTGCCAAAACCTTTTTAAAGATCATTCTAAGCTTAGTGGCTTTAGAATCATCACCTTACAAAACACACTTGGGAAGGTCTTGGAGAAGATAGTTGCTGTAAAGTTACAAGAATTTTTGGAAAGGGGGAAGCTTCTTCCATGAGGTCTGGGAAGCTACAGGCCAGGAAAGGACACTTGGGCAAATGCGACCACTTTTGCTTTTGATGTCTATGAAGGGTTCCAGAACAAACATGAAACTATGGCGGTAGGACTAGATCTTGAGGATGCTTATAACAAAGTGAGATACGACATCTTAATGACTGCACTGAGGAAGGAGGAGGTCAATCCTTGGCTGGTGAATTGGGTTGCAGCTATCCTGTATTCACGTCGGGTTGCTCTCTGACTGGGCTCATGGACCTCTGAACTATGCACTTTGGCCCCAGGACTGCCACAGGAATCCGCCATCTCACCTGTGCTTTTCAATGTGTATACGAGCAAGATTGCAAGCCTAGAAGCACCAGGAGTTGGAAGGATACTGACTTTTGCGGAGGATATACTTGCATATAGGCAGGGTGAAGAGAGGGAACAAACAGCTCGGGAGCTACAAGCGACAGTAGACAAAGTGACTGAGTGGTGTACAGAAATGAAGGCTGTCATCCACCCGGAAAAGGCGTCTGTTTTGTGGTGTTCTCTGAACAACAGAATCGTTAAAACTAATGTCCCAAGTCCTCACAATAGATGGTAGAGACGTCAACAGAGAGAGCAAACTGAAGCATCTGGGAATTAAATTTGACAGGACCATGTGGAGAGTGTTGTGACGAGATACCAAAAAGGACTTAGTGCACTTAAGACTATGGCTGCAATTGACATAGAGCAGAGAATGCTTTTCAAACTATATCAGCACCTGATCCTGTCAGTGGTGGATTATGGCCTGAGACTGCTTACCGTCTCAAAGAGTCAGATGGACAAACTAGAGTGCCTACAGAACGCAGCTATGCGGGTCATTCTGGGTTGCACCAGAGACACCCCAGTGGTGTGTATGTGATACATCCTTGGTTTGCCGACGGTTGCAGGTAGGCACAAAGTGATGCAGGCGGAGTCATATCTCAGGGTAGCTGCAGACACAGACCACTCTCTGCGTGAAGCTCTGGGTGCAGTTTAGTGTCAGCGGCTGATAAGAGGGAGGTCATGGATGGCTCAGGCAGAGGACACAATCAGACAGGTTTGCATCCTTGAGAATATTAGGCGAGGAGAGGAGTGGGTCAAAGTGCCACCTGAGCAGTCAGACTTGTGTAGAGTCATAATCATGCTGAGCCGGGAATGCAGAGACTGGCCAGCAGGTGCCACAGAGGTGGAAATTCAGCAATTAATTCAAGATAATGCTCGCTCAGAGGATTTGATCATTTACACAGACAGTTCAGTGTCAAGAGGAAAAAGAAGTGCTTGGGGCTTTTTAGCAAAAGTTTATTCGATGTTTGGTGCAGGAGAGCCTAGCATATGATACCACAACATCCAGCTTAAGAATGGAGGTGGAGGCGGTCACTGCAGCTTTCCGCTGGCTAGAGAACACAACACACACACACACATTGTAATTGTAACTTATTCAGAAAGCATGCTGAGGAAGATCAGAACAGGTATGCTTTGTGCAGAGTGGCATGCTTCGCTGCGGAGGACACGAGTGAGTATTGTCTGGATTTTTTCACCGGGTGACGCCGGTGTGTTGGGAAATGAACAGACGGACAGACTGGCTGGCTCTGCACAACTTGGTGGAATACTGCTACATAATAGGGCAGACGTGGTTAGTGCCTTGTGGGAGAGTGTGTACAGTGTGGAGGAGCAGATGGATCACCACAGTCTGGTGAGATTGATGCAGTTGGGGGTGACGAGAGGTTCTGGCAGAAGCTCAAGGCTCAGAGGAAAGGCAAGATGGACATTTAATCAGAAAGCTACTGGCACCATTAGTATCGGAACTCTTCGCTGGCTGCTGAAGATGGGGACGGAGCGCTTATGGGAATGCCCTGAGTGCTGTGATGTCGGTTCGTGAATCAAATCAAATAATGGAAATATTATGCCTTCATCATGGTTCTTGCATTAAATATTTATTCCTACTGAAATCCTAAGACCTTCTAAAAGAAAATCTGGCATTGGTCATGAAAACTGGGAAAATTGCTGCTTGTCACTTTGATTTGCATACTCTTATTACTGCTAGAATTACAACTTAGAAGGACAGTTTAGAATTGAGGATGCCACTCACAAGTTTGCCTTCATCCTTTATCTGTCAGTATTCTTCTACCACCATTATAGTAGACACCATCAAAGCTGGACAAGACAAACAAACATTTGACAGCACAAAGAGTAGTAGGTTTTCATAAATATCCTGTTCAACCCTCAGGGTTATAATTGGGATGTGTAATGTTAATTAAATTCTCAGAGTATATATTTGTTATTTTAAATTTATATATTTTATAATTATTTGAATGACTAAAATGAAATTTTACTATGAATAATTAGACAATCTCACTAACATTGTGTCATTAACATGGTGGATATATTGTTTCCTTAGTGTGCAGTCACTGGTTATTCTCCTCAGTTTTATCTTTAGGGGAAAGAGTGATGCAAGACTGCCACAGTGTTCTTATTTATTTATGGACCTGTCCAGGCTGCCGTGAAGATAACCCAGCTCATAATTCCTAACTCTTGTTTATTCATTGTTGTAATAATCATGTACTTGAATTACTCCATTTGGTGTGTTCACAAGCAAGGTTTTTTTAAATATATGATTTATTTTTCCAGATGCATGTGGAAAGAAGAATGGTGGATGTCATCAGCTCTGCATCCCAGATACAAGTGAGGTGTCTGGGCGAAGGTGCGAATGTTCTGTGGGCTTTGATTTCAAGGAAAACTCTGATACTGAGTGTGATGACATTGATGAATGCAAAATCCCTGGCACATGTTCTCAGATTTGCAAGAATACCAAGGGATCCTACAAGTGTGAATGTTCTGAAGGGTATACTTTAACCAGTCATCGCTATTGCAAAGCTGATCATGGTAAGAACATGTGATCTCAAAATATCATATTTTTAAAAAAAAATGTTTAGTCTTTTTATATGTATTAATTCATTCACACAGGAAAAACCTTTTTCTTTTAAGGCAGGATTTAAAAAAAAAAAATTTGTAAACACCTTTGAAAAATAGTCATCTGACACGGATCACTAATACATTTTCACAAATATTTATCTGTATGTTAAAAATATATATCTATATAAATATATAAATAACTTGAGTAAACAGTTCAACAAATTAAAACTATATTGCCCAGCTTTTTGCAGATAATAGAGGGGGGGGGGGGGCAGAAAAGCCCTTAAGAAAATGGCTTTTTTGGTACCCAAAATAGATATATTAATGTACTTTTCCACAGGAGGTCCTGCAGAATTGATACTATCTGATCGCTACGATATCCGACGCTATCATTTGGACACCTTTCACTACTCTGTTCTGCGTGATAAGGCAGTGGCAGGTGCTGTTGCCATGGATTTTGATATCCGAAGTAAAGATGTTTTCTGGGCAGATGGTCAGGCTGGAACAATTTCCTGGTAAGTATTGTCATTTCTTTTTTAACTACAGGGATTTCAAGTGATATTGTAAAATAAACATGTATACGCTGTAGGGTTAATTGTAGCTCTTCACAAATATATGAACAAATAATCATGCTATAGTATTACAATATTTTTATTTATCATAATTTATCTTTTCCATCAGTTTTTTTTTAAATAGCTTTCTAATGAAACGGGAAATCATATTATATAGATATTGTCACAACTGTGCAGTGGGTTTGGGTTGTCTGTGAAATAACATACAGATATGTTTCCATCTCATTAGGGTTAATCTGGAGACCAACAAGTCAAAGGTTATTATTGAGGACGATATCAGTATGCCAGATGGCCTAGCTGTTGATTGGGTTCACAAGAATATTTATCTCTCGGACACTGGTCTTGACAAAATTGAAGTGGCTCGTATCGATGGAACTTACCGTAAAACTCTGATAAATGAGAATCTGGATGAGCCTAAAGCTCTGGTCTTGGATCCAAGCAGTGGGTACGTAAAATGTTTGTAATTTTTTTTTTATCTGTTCAGGTTTTGGCATAAATGTTCAGTCTCATTTATAACTCTTGTTAAAATGACGGTGCTAACATTTCTAAACAGAACATTTAGTGTAGTCTGTTGCCCCTTAGCTGGCAGTGAATACAGGCAGTATGGTGGCCTGGGGTGATAATGGAGTCTACAGTTCCCAGAAAACAAGACAGGTAGAACTCCTTGATACAGAGGCAGAACTCCTTGATACAGAGGCAGAACTCCTTGATACAGGGGCAGAACTCCTTGATACAGGGCACTGAACTGGCAACGGCTGTGGAAGCACATAGTTGGAGAATTAGCTTGAGAAAGAGACTGTCAAGCCTGCCATGATAATAGTGATTTTCTATAAAGGACCTCCTTTTGGATGATGTTGCTTTTGACCCAGTTATCCTCTGAGTTCAAATTAGTTTGCATACCGGGGCTATTAATCCAGTGGCCTGCGAGCCAAATCTGGCCCGCGGAAGCCTATCAGGTGGCCCTTGGATCATTGCCGGTTGTACTGTATTAATGATCTTTCTATGCTGGGGCTCAGGCCTTTGGAAAGATTACTGGTAGAAGAGGCAGAGGCAGACCACGAGAAACGATGGTGGATGGCTTAAGACAGTGGCATGGAGGAATATCATCAGTGGAATTGATCCAGAATACCAGAGACCAAGATCTGTGGAGATGTATGAACGCCTACGCCAGCTGGCAAAGCACTTGATGATGATGATTTCCAGTAATACATGGACTGTTATCTATGCTTGTTTGTTCTGCCTCAGATGGATGTACTGGACAGATTGGGGCAGTCAACCTAAGATTGAGAAATGTGGAATGAATGGTCAGAACCGCATGGCAATAGTCACTACTGGCATCACCTGGCCTAATGGTCTCACTATAGGTAAGATCTTGACATAATCACAGTTATAACTCATTGATACATATTTGACTGATGCACTCATAGATATTAAACTCAGTGAACCACCTCCTCCTCCCCTTTGACATTTCAAACCCTAGTGGTTCATTGTTGCAGATATCCCCTGCCTTTACACATCTCTTTGACTGGCCTTGTCTTTTCAACCTTTGTGTATGTAGTTTTTTTCATTTAATTTATCTGCCATTCTTTCACTATACCCCAACCATTGCATCATGGAAACAACTATCACTTTCCGTCCTTTTTAGGATGCAATTTTTTGTTATTTGAAGCCCTACTCTGGCTCTTGCCAGGGGCCGCAATATAGCCAGGCCATAAATATGGTCTAATGGCTGAACGGGGTTTCTGGGACCTCTCCATGGTGATCCTCATCCACATGGTGGCGCCTTATGTCATCGGGTGTTTATTACTTGTGTGATGTCCTGGTGGGGTAGAAAGTCAGTCAGTCAACCATTGCATTCAGCCCTCATGTTGCCAGTAATTAGTTAAAATGTAAACAGTTCCTTGATTTTGCTTCTCTCTACCCATTCTCTGCTATTTGCCTATTTTATGGGTCTAAAATTCATTGTAAGACTGTTCTGCAAAAAATTGTAATAAATCTGTCTCTCTCTCTTAACTGTACTGCAGGTTTCAGAGCAATATAAAAAAAAGTTGGACATTTTAGTGTTTCGTATATTGTGATCCTGGTGTTAAGAGAGTTTTAGGTTGGAGGAAGGCAGAGTAATGAATATTGTGAACATGTGAAGATCTGTTAATTTATTTTATTTAGAAAAAAATTGGGGTTGATTGTTGGTACAGCTACATTAATATTTGACAAAAATGTATTTATCCTGACATCAACAGCAGATATGAGGGGTAGATGTCTATTTGTATCATCATGCAGCCTGTGTACATGTTTCCTTTGGTAATCCCCACTGTTGAAACTTTGCTTGACCTACTCTGGATATGCTTCAGGAGGAACTCTGAATAACAATGAAGTTATTTGCATCAAGGAAAATCTGCACATAAACACATACAAAAGTGGACCCTGTATTGTGATTGAAGCAGAGGAAAGTTTTTGGCATTCACTGCTGTAGAAGTTGGGTTTTTTTCCCCGTGAAGCTTTTTGTATTTATTCTTTTCTCTTTTTTTAAAGTTTTTAAATCACCACTTTATTTCTGAGCAGGAACTAGCCATGCAGGTAAATAATGGCATGTCACGCATCCCTCAGGGGTAGACAACTGAAATGTAAGCTTCTTGCAGCAACACTGAGAAAAACTTCCCTTGGCATAAATTGAATAGTATATGTGAAAGATGAAAAGTAAATCCAGTCCTATACTGTATTGAAAGTGCTTGCATAAATGTGCAAATATGCCAGGATTGCGGTCAGTGTCTGCACACATAATGTGCACTGATATATTTTTTTAACAATAATCTCTGATAGCATCAGAAAGTTCGGGGTATCTCTTGGATTCATACAGGTATTTATTACATTAGGGTCATGTATATTGTAGAAAAATGTGACTTCAGCAACTGTTCTCAGCTGAGTTGATATTTGTTTTCTCCATAGATTATGTGCAGAAGCGTCTGTACTGGGTTGATGCCAAACTCCACAGTATCGGAAGCTCTGACCTTGATGGCAACAATTTCAAGTTGATTTTGAAAAACCATAGAAACCTTGGACATCCATTTGCAATCACCTTGTTTGAAGACTACCTTTACTGGACCGACTGGCTGTCGAATGCTGTGCATAGATTCAGCAAGTTTGGCCGGGACAATGTTTCAACTATTGCTCTTGATTTGAAGATGCCAATGGATATTCATGTGTACCATATCAGCAGACAACCAGATTGTAAGTATTGCATAAGTGTGACTTTTGTTTCTTGGTAATGATATCCTGAATATCTTTCAGCTAGGACTCCCCCAATTGAATATATGACTCACTACAGCCTGTGACAACAGAAAACATGCTAAATATCAAGAGGAAACTACAGGAACTTATTAAACATTACATCACATGAGCCAACTAAAAAATTGCATATTAGGTATTCATCTGTCTCAAAGCAAAATACTAAAAATCCTAGATCACTAAATATTTCTTTAAATTAGTCTTACTATATATATATATATATATATATATATATACACACACACACACACACACACACACACACACACACACACACACACACACACACACACACACACACACACACACACACACACACACACACACACACACACACACCACACACACACACACACACACACACACACACACACACACACACACACACACACACACACACACACACACACACACACACACACACACACACACACACACACACACACACACACACACACACACACACACACACACACACACACACACACACACACACACACACACACATATATATATATATATAATGTTTTGCAGTGTGTCCCCCTATAACATATTACATTTAAAACATTATCTATGCTTAAATAACCAAAAAAAAATATTAGAATTGTGAAAACCCTAAACATTGATGATAAAAATCTAAAAATAATTTAAAAACATATAATAGCAACAAGAAGCAGCCATAAGGATTGACCGCAAAGTTGGAACTTTTTAAAACATTCTTTAAGGTGTTAGACAGGGATGTGTAATATCACCAGATTTATTCAATTTGTACAGTGAAGTAATAATTAGATCCACACATGGTATGCCAGTTTGGTGGGCAAATTGTTAACAACCTGGGATATGTTGATAATATAGTTTTGATTGCTGAAAATGAAACAACTGCAAGAAATGATGGATTCAATTGTAACGGAAAGTGAAAACAAGAATCTTAGTTTGAACAGCAGAAAAACATGAGTAATGGTAATTAAAAAGAAAACTGATCCTCCAAAATGCAACATCAAAGTAAATCGGACAAACCTCAAGCAAGCTGATATGTTTAAGTGCTTGGGTACCTTGATAATATCAGATGGAAGATTTTAAATATCAAAAAGAAACACAGCAAAAGCACCATTTTACAAAATAAAGAATATTTTATGCAATCTTTCTTTGTCAATGAGATGAAAAAGAGAATTCTTAAAGTTTACATAAATCCTATATTGATACGTGGATGTGAATAATGGACACTTTGTAAAATTAGTGAAAACTTATTTGGAAGTTGTGGAGATGTGGTTTTATAGATGAATGATGAGAATAACCTGGACAGATAAAAATAGTAAGAAAGACGTCTTGAAAGAAAGTGACTCACAACTGATTGCCCACATCAGAAAGAGATAAATCTACATTCTTTGGTCATGTGATGAGAAGGAGAAAACTGGAGTACATCGTGACGGTTGGAAAGTTGGAGGGTAGGCAGAGAGAGACCAAGAGAACAGATGCTGGACAGTTTGACATCATGGCATGGAGGATCATCTGTATCAGAGTTGATTGAAAGTACACGAGACAGAAGGTTGTTGATAGACGTGACTACCCACACCATTTGACATGGACTTTAGGAAGAAGAAGTAACCAAAAGTAATTGACAGACCTAAATATCAAATATTGAAAAATAAACAAATCAACTTTATATACCTCAATATAATCCAGAAGTGCTGAACAGGATATCATTGATAAAACTACCACTACTGTTATATACATTTTATTTGTTAGTGATGTCACCACTTTATCAGGTAGTCAGGTAATCACTATTTCAACCTAATATGAAAGGGTCACCTCATAATTACTCTGTTTCTCTGCCAGGAAAAAACAAACCACACAGAATGCCCATCACTGTCCCTTGTGGCAACAGTGACATAGACTGAAGTCTTAACATATCTGATAGCATACACACATGTGCATTAAATGCATAAGGCATCAGTCAGAAGTGCTAACAAAGTCTAAAGTCCTCTCTAGAATTCAGTTTTTCATCGATGGAAGCAGCATTTGCAGCTATCAGTAGTTGCACACATGATTAATCACCACCAGTTCTGTGGTGGCAGGCCACTCACCATTTTATGTATTTACAGTTCGTCACACAAACCTTGTTGGTCACAACTGAAAAGCATTCCAAATAAAATCCGCAGGTCACAGTGTTATGCCATGCACTCGGCTCAGTAGCTGGGCGATGAAACTATATCCTAAACATATGGAGAAAAATGCAATGGCCACCTATTCTTAGAAGCAGATACTTGCCACAGCTAAAAATAGTATACCCGCATATCCTCCATATTGACCAGAAGTCAAATTTAATGATGCCACTACTGGAATTGTCAATATTAGTATTGTTACCACTTTTTTTAATGACACTTATTTACCTACAGAATTGTCACATTTTTAACTGCTTATTTAATGACTTGCCTTGCTCCATGATGTGAATGTATATTTAGCTACTTTTTTATTGTCAGTGTCTTGCTTTTGTTTTTAGAATCACTTTTTTGAGGATTTTGGTCAGTTTTTCCTGAGACTGCTTTATTTGCCCGCCTCCCCCCGGTCACACTTTCCCTTTCTCTTTCAGTAGTGGTGTATGTGATAAGTGTATGTGTGAACTGTTAGGCGTGTGTGTAACATTTTGTAACATGAAATGTGTACCAGAGAGTTTATTATAATATTGTATTAAATCAGAATGAAGACTGACTAGCCTAAATATTGTCTATTTAACCTTAGCAATGCTCAGTGGAAAGAAAAGACCACATTGGCTGCTGATAACGAAAGCATAGCGCTTTTGGGAATGTTCTAAATACTGTTTTATTGGCACTCAGCATCTATCTATCTTTTGACTGACTTTTATGGGGGGGGGGGGAGATTCAGGTCATAATTGGTAATATTTCTTTCAAGTACATTAATTCAGAATCCTCTTAGTGTAAATCTATCGTGGTTTAATATATAGATTGCCAGAAGTTACTGCTGGAGTGTGAGCTAAATATTGTATTTACTCAGGGTTTCTAACTGATGGGGAGCTCTCTAAGAAAACTGGTCATATCAAAGAGATTTTGGAGCTGTGACAGTGTGCCTGTATGTTGAGAGTAAACATGGAATAAAAGTGACTAAACTTTCAGGGTGTATTTGTTCTGCAATGTGTGTGTTTTAATTATACAGCATCAGTTTGTATGTCATCTTTTGATGTTTTGATCCTAAAGAATGTTTTGCCTTTGTTATGGTTAGGGTGTTTTAATGTGTTAAAATAAATGGCTGACTACATCAAGTTACTTCTGTGGTTTTCAGTTGCCAGCAGCTGTGGAAGTAACAATGGTGGCTGTTCTCATTTGTGCCTCCCAGTACCACAGACACAGGATACTTCTGCAGTAACCAAAAAATCCGAATGTGCCTGTCCTGATAACATGGTTTTGACTGACAAATTTAACTGCACAAAATGTATGTAATACATCTTAACATTGTAATGTTTAAATACAGTAAGTCATTGCATGTGCTTGTTAAAATATAATAAGAAACAAATATACCAAAGCTTTTAGGAAAAGCAAAGATTAGTAACACTGCACACTACCAAAGCAAGTCGTGAGAAGCAGCTAAGGGTCAGTCTTGAAGTTGGCTACTTTATCCCATAAACAGGTTTAACTACAAAAGTCAGCCAGCTATGATTTGGTTGATGACCTATGCTCCATTTGAAGATAAAGGGCAGAAGTAAAGAAGATTAACTGCAGGATAAACTACCTGTAGGTAAAAAGTCACTTTTAATGCCACATTCCTGAATTTGTTTTAGATAAACTGTAAATATGAAAACATGTAAAAATCACTATCGATAAGGGACGTGCAAATAAAGAAAAAAAAAGAAAGTATTTCAATTTTTAAACAAAATGTCTGAAAAATATTGAGGCTCAGACTTTGGCTGAGCTGAAAAGAATTGTTGAGAATATAGGACGATGAAGTGAGCTTGTGATAAAATACAGCAATGAGTGAAGTTTATAATTTTCATTATGAAGAATTATTGGAAATGACACTCTTGAAGAAATGTGTCAGACTTTATTTCACTAGAATATGTTTGCAGCCAGTTCACTGGAGATGTGCCCAGACTTCTCAGTTTTTGTTAGTAATATCTCCAGATGTCTCTTTGTTATATTGAGTAGTAGGGCATTCTGAACTCTCTTTGTTGTGCAATTCTCATTTATTTAAAGGAGTTGCATGTTTCAAAGAGTTATAATGATCATGTTTTCTGTTTGTTTTCCAGCACCAGTAACTACAGCAACCACCACAAATCTACAGCTGACCACAGAAAGCACACATCAGGATGGTTCACAGACTAATAGACCTAGCAGTCTGAATCCACAGACAGTGACTACAGCCAGAACAGAGATGGAGACTACAGGCAGGCCAGAAGAGACAACAGCACAGTCTGTCTCAGAAGAAACACAGACAGACCAAGAGCTCTCTGTCACCAACAGCCATCTCCAGCTTGAGCACAAGGATGAAAATGCTGGCTACATTGCTGGCATAGTTATAGGCTTTCTGCTGACTGTGGGACTTGCTATCTTTGTGGTGAGTTCTAGTGCTCTGCCATTTCAGGTATAATTGTTTTCTGGGTTTATCTTCTGATATTTTATTTATAAATGTTTTGTGTGTCTGACATTTTATATATACTATGTAATTGTTTTGTTTGTGTATGTCTGGACATTTCATTTATAATAGTTTTGTGTTTGTCTTTAGGCATTTTATTTATAATTGTTTTGTGTTTATGTTAAGACATTTAATTTACAATTGTTTTGTGTTGTCTTCGGATATTTCATTTATAAGTGTTTTTAATTTTTTTAAAGACATTTCATTTATATTTGTTGTTTAGACATTTCAGTTGTAATTATGTTCAGATTTTAAATTTATAATGCATTTGTAAGTAGGGTAATATTTACCTATTTTTTATAATAAAGATTTGTGTTATGCAAGTTTGATGTTTATTTTCCTCATTACTACATTGATTAGTGGCTAATTTGTTCATCCTTTCTTAATGTGGTAATTATTTATTAATTCATTTTTTCACTTGTTTTTGTTGTTGCAGGTGGCCTGCTTATTACTGAGGAGACACAAGTCCAGAAATGTGAAGTCTATGAACTTTGACAACCCTGTGTATCGTAAGACAACTACGGAAGAACAGCTGATAATGGAGAAAAATGGATCTAGAACAAATCTCCCTCAGGTAAGTGTTTGGCTACATTGAGATGTGAAAAACACCTCAGAGGTCTTTGTTTTGTATGAGGGGCATTCAGAAAATAATGGTCCATGTTTTTCTCAGTGAACAGTGAAGAAAGAAACATACATTGTGTGCGCTCGAAATTTGAAAGTCAGTTATTAAAAGAGCAACTCATTCTAAAAAGACTAGTTGTGTTATTAAAATATAGGATAAGAAAAAAGTACTTTACAAATTGTTGTAACATTTTTGGCTGTAGCAAAAAAAAATTATGGTGAAAGTTCACAAACATTAGTGTCCTGTGTATGGAAGTTGTGCAGTCAACAGGAGCATTAAAAGTTGTGCAGTCAGCAGGAGCATTGGAAGTTGTGCAGTCAACAGGAGCATTGGAATTTGTGCTGTCAACAGGAGCATTAGAAGTTGTGCAGTCAACAGGAGCATTCGAAGTTGTGCAGTCAACAGGAGCACTGTTAGTCACAGGGTTCTGAGAATCTGAATTAAGGTTCAGAAAGTGGAAAGATAGACCTGAGAATATTATTGATGCTGTGAAGAAGTGGCTTATGTGCATGGGGAAAACTGATACATGCAAATGATGCACACCCTTATTTTACATTTTCATTGTTGGTCACAGCAGTAGATGGACATTATCTAGACAATTGTGGTGTGTACACAACCTAATGTTAAATATACTTGTTGCACTAACAGTTTGTGGAAAATGTGGTGGGGGGGGGGGGGGGTACTTTCAGAATGTCCCTCCTTCAGGTGAATCATCTCATTGGTGTACATGATGTTCCGGTACACGCCTGCAGGGCCAAGGCCTATATAGGTGTAACTGCTGACACATACCATTCTAGGCATACACATTTGCACAACACTAAGGGGACCAGAATTAGCAGAGAACGGTCATGGATAGCACAAGTTAAAACAGATTATAAGAGTTACTAAAGTAAATAATTTAAACAGGTGCAGAATAGATACACAGTAGAAGTTAAAAGAGTCGAGAAGATCAACTTTATTTCACTGAGTTTTAGCCCAGAAGGCTCGGTCTCTCTCAGCAGAAGTCTAGTCACCTGCTGAGAGTGTCGCACAAAGCATGAACTCTGTAGCTCCAGCAGAAATCCCAATAGCTGCACTCATGAACTGAGCAATACGTCCATGAAATGAACACACAGCCTCCAAAGTGCAAGGCAAAGAGTATGGTCACCGAGATCTCTAGCCTCTACGCAGTGGCAGTAATGAGAATGACCAGCTTGTTAGCAAATGCACAGACTCATGATAAAAGAGCAGATCTGGAAATTACACATAATTAGTAGTAGTAGTACTATGTGATAAATTCTCATTTATGGAGTTACTAAATGGCTACTTATGTATGTAGGAGATCAATCAGCTTGCAGTAGTGACAATCAGCATATACTGTTATTTTTCCTGCATATAAGACATGTAAAAGAGACCTCTGTTTTTTATCCCAGAATTAAGTAATAAATATTTTAAACACATTCGGTGTATGTTAAAGTAAATGATCATTTTCCATGCTATCAGGCATATAGGGCTAGAGCTATATTTGATAGATTAATCAGCACTTGATGGGTAATATGGTCAGCATCATGTCGGCTCCTTTACCTCCCAGAACTTTGCCTGGTAACCCATTTAACCTTGGCTGGGTCGACCTAGGAGGCAGGTTTATTGTTTCTTTTAAGTCTGGCTCTGTTCAAATTCAGACATCACAGCAGCATCTACCAGATGTGTATAACTTTGATATTTTATTAAATTGCCAAAATACTGGCAAATTTCTACTGTAAATTTAGACATCAAACAAAACAACTTTATTGACATTTTTTACATGTAATTTTGCGTGATTGGTAACTTTTAACTTGATAGTTTCAAAATAATATCTGACATTTTAATGAGCTTGTGTTAAAACAAAATGATAATACAGTGCATGAGGTTATGGTAGTGGCTGTGCAGTGCAGGCTGGCAAACAACAATTCCCTTAATACAGATGATGGCTCGAGTGCATGCTGGGAACTGCCGAGAGAACAGGAGAAAAGGACTGTGTGCAGAGTGGGGGCTGGGAGAACGGAGTTAGAGAGCAGGGTTAGGTTTGGGTACATCATTCCATATAAGAATATTTATAGTTTTACACTTGAAAAATTTAGGAAAACATTTTCTTCTTCTGCATGGACAGAATTGTGTCTACTATCAGCTGCAGCTAGAAATAAATGATGAACCCTCTTTTTTTTTTTAAATGTATTTCCCATAAACTAGTATAACATAATGAGATGTGGTAGTGTAGCCGCTAAATGTTTGCCTGTCATCCCGAAGTTTTTGAGTTCAGATCTTCTCCAGATTAGTTTCTTGTTTTCTTAAATTAGAAAAGACCTGTGTCCCAGGTTAACAGCCTAAAACAGATACAGTTTGATGTTGACCACATCACCCATCAAATGCCAAAATGTCTATTCAAATATGGGTTTAGCACCATATGCCCAGTGCATCAGTGATGTGAGATGGATTCTTGTGTTATTTACTTTGCTGATATAAATGTAAGGCTTTGTATGGATGTAAATTGTTAATCCTTGTGTATTTCAGAGTATGCAGCCATTGAATCAGGATAACGAAATTGTGTGATCCCAGATATAGAGCTATGGAAACACAGAACCAGAGCCAAGTATAGCAGTTGTTCATAAGTGACACCATGAGAATGATGAATATAGTCTGTCTGCCAGCTGGACACAGTTTACGCTGAAGAGTAGTCCGTCTTACCAACTAGATAAATAGAAACTGAAGAATAGGTTGTCTACCAACTGGAACAGCCATTGATATCAGCATCAACAATTGTACAGCCATCAGTGGCAAGAAGTTTTTCAGCAAGAAGGATTCAGCACACCAGCAGTGGAATGTATACTTCATGTTTGCACATGGCTGTTCAGCATCGGTGCATGCTGACTTGACCAGATGAGAACATTTGCACACTTTCTGCATTGCAGATGGAGATCTATACAGAACCCAGCTTGTGGTCAAATGTACAGGCATGCCCATCGGTCTGGACACTTGCCTGACAATGACTCTCTGTATGTGCTCAGATGCTATTGTGAACTTTGTGCCTTTCACTTTGTGCTCTCTTTCATTTGACCTCTCATGTGCTCTCTTTGAATTGACTTCTCAGTGCTTGGTATTTATCCTACAAGCCATTCACAAACAAAATTGCTGATCATACCCTGTTCAGTTCATGTCAAAATTCATTGTAGCAATAGTATGTAAGTAACTTGACCATGGCACCAGGATAGAGTTAGTAATATTGGTTGAATCTCATAGCAGCACAGAATGGCTGACACATTTTTTGTGTTAAACTTAGATGGTTTGGACTGTTCTAGCCAATGTTTCAGTGTCATAATTGTTTAGTTTTATTGAATGATGATATGTTGTTCAGCATTGTACTTCTCTTTTTTTTTTTTTTTTTTTTTTTTTTTTTTTTTTAAATAACATAAAACTACATGAAGAACTATTTTACAGTTCATTTATGAAATATGTAATCAACTGCTGTTGATTTTCTATGGTTATTAAGCTGAAACTATAGGCTGTGATTTTTGCCGTTGTTGTTACTTATCCCTGATCCTTTTGCTAGTAATTGATTGCACTTGTATTTGATGAAGAATCCTCACAAGGAATGTACAATAAGCTAATGAGTAGGTAGGTAATGGGTATTTACTATACAAGCCAAACTAACTAGCATGAACATAATTATAGCATTGCTCAAAGTCTCATAGGTTAATCAAAATAACTTCATCATTGATGCAGCAGTCACATCGTGTTTGCATATTTGTTTCATGAAATAGTTAAAGAATTGAAGTAACATATTTCTAGTCAGCTAATTGAATATTCTTGTTAAGAACAAGTGTAAACAAGTGACATCTCAGAATACACAATCTATGTGCAAGCACAGTGTTACACTGTCTCTGAAAACCAAATACTCAGAATATTATTTGAGTATGCAAGAGACAAATGGCTGCTTATTTCTTAAACTTTGTAAATAATTGTCTTGGAGGAGCCCACAGACTTACTACAGTTGATAGGCTGTAAATTATTGTGTGTTGTAGATTATTTCGAGAATACTGGTGCCAACATTGTATCAGTGAATGCATTCCATTTGTAGACAGTCGATGACAACAATAAGATGTCATGGCATACTTTCAGCTGTCATCAGCATATGCTCTTGTATCACCTATGACAGTTTTACTTGGAGTTTTAGTCATGGTGGAAAACTATCTCAGTGTAGAAGCTCTTGTAAATGCATTCATAGAACAGGACATGGCTGGCTGTAACAGTCTATTGTTCAGTCGGCCTCCTGAAGTATGGAGCAGAGTGCTGTGTCAATTGTTCATTTGGCCTCCTAAAGTATGGAGCAGAGTGCTGTGTCAATTGTTCAGTTGGACTCCTGAAGTATGAAGCAGAGTGCTGTGTCAATTGTTCAGTTAGACTCCTGAAGTATGGAGCAGAGTGCTGTGTCAATTGTTCAGTCGGCCTCCTAAAGTATAGAGCAGAATGCTGTGTCAATTGTTCAGTCGGCCTCCTAAAGTATGGAGCAGAGTGCTGTGTCAATTGTTCAGTTGGACTCCTGAAGTATGAAGCAGAGTGCTATGTCAATTGTTCAGTTAGACTCCTGAAGTATGGAGCAGAGTGCTGTGTCAATTGTTCAGTTGGCCTCCTGAAGTATGGAGCAGAGTGCTGTATCAATTGTTCAGTCGGCCTCCTAAAGTATGGAGCAGAGTGCTGTGTCAATTGTTCAGTTGGACTCCTGGAGTATGGAGCAGAGTGCTGTGTCAATTGTTCATTCGGCCTCCTAAAGTATAGAGCAGAGTGCTGTGTCAATTGTTCATTTAGACTCCTGAAGTATGGAGCAGAGTGCTGTGTCAATTGTTCAGTCGGCCTCCTAAAGTATGGAGCAGAGTGCTGTGTCAATTGTTCATTCGGCCTCCTAAAGTATAGAGCAGAGTGCTGTGTCAATTGTTCAG